TATAGTTGTCTTCTACTCTTATTATCTCACACAATGATAAAAATTACTCGCAACATTATAAACACCCGAGGGAAAATAGATAGCCAGGTAAAACCCCGACATTTTTCATTCTTTCAGGTAACTTCCAAGAACTCGAATACCCAATGGTTTCAACAGTAACACCTTTGGCTACTGCATACTAAATAAAAAATTAATCGAAGATATTATGCCATTAAATCAATAAGACTTAACAAAGACTTAATAAATAAACTTAAAAGCTGTAGGTAGAAGTTCGAGTATAAAGGAAAGTATAAACAGAGAAAAAAAAAATAAATAGAGAGAGAAATAAAGAAAGAAAAGAAAAATAGAGGAATGTTATTGAACTCACCTCAAGTTCTTCGTAGGTGCGGAAGGCGAGTATGGCAAAGCCGTCGATAATGTCCTCTTCGAAGGGAGGCTCCTTCTGGTTGGCAGCCGCGAGGGAAGACTTCTTACGAGGCCTCGGGGGTCGCGGTGGCCTGGGCGGTCGAGAATGGCTATCACGAGGATGACCGGTCCTGGCGAGTCCTGGCGAGTCCGAGGCCAAGACCGGCAGCGGGGTCCTCGTCCTCGCCGCTGTGGCTGTCCTCTTCGTCGTTCGGCCGTTGTCTCGTTTGTTGTTGCTGTTGTTGCTGTTGCTGCTTCGCGCTCGCCAAACTCTCTCTTTGCGCCAACATACGCTGGGCTCGTTCTCGTCTCCGATTCCTCTGGTTCCGTTGTTTCGCCTCGATCTCCATCTCGAGGCAGACGTCCTGTTCTCGTACGAGAGGCCGTTGTCGCGCCCCGCTATACGAGAATATCGGCACGTCCACCAAGACACCTCACGATCGAGGTGCCCTTAATAACGACAACGACCAGAACCACGACGACGACGACGATTCAGCTTGCTCAATGATTCCTCGACAGAGGAACAAGCCGGGAAATAAGTGGAGACGATCCGTGAACGATGACGATGAACAAGTAGAACTGGACGAGAACGACGACGGTGACGACGACGACGACGTGAACGATGACAACCGTTGTATTACCGTGGTGTCGTCGAGCATTCTATCTACGATCGTCTTTAATGCAGTTTTACCATGAGAGGAAGAGAGATCACTAGGAAAGACGGCGAAAGTATAGAATAATAAGGGAACGGTAGAGAGATGGAAAAACAGAAAACAAGAATAAATGAATAAGAGGGACACTGATGGGGCGATGGAGAAAGAGGGTAAGGGGGGGAAACGGAGATGCAGTGGAGAGAGCGCGAGTAAGAGAACACACACTGTCTTTTGGATACACACTCTCACAAGAAGACAAGACAGGACGTTTACCGACGGGACACACGCATCTATAACACTCTCGGTTCGATTCCCCCGTTTCTTCTCGTATTCCAGGAATCAGTTCTATAGATGCGAGAGTTCTATAGAATAAGAGTTAACGAGTGAGAGAGAGAGAAAGAAAGAGAGGGAGAGAGTGAGAGAGAGAGAATTTTCGTTAGTAAAAGACGTTCACACAGGCGGTCACACGGTGTCACATCGATCGCGTTGCCGAGGAAGAGAGACTCCGATGTGCGTGGCGAGGAGGTACACGCGAAACACGCACGCACAGGGCGGACAACGACGACGGAAACCGTAGGTAAAACACCGAAACAAACGGAGAGACACACTGGCCACTAAACGGAGCACTATCATCAATGAACAACACTGTGCAATTATTAAACACGAATCACAGGCATGCTCTAATAGCTCCAATGTATTTATTAATATATATATTCCAATGTATCGAGTCGTTCCGTTCAAGTCGTTTCTTTTTCGCCATGATCATCACACGATCATCGTATCATCGTATCATCCTTCTTCCTTTCTTTCTCCTCTTCCTCCACGTCGTCGTCGACGACGTCCACCAACACCAGCACCAACACCACCAGTAACACTGCCGGCTTTCACGAGCTTTCGTCTCTGGTCGTGCCCGACCAAAGGAAACGTTCACGTCTCAATGGCACGTATTATCGTCTCCCGATGGTGCCTCCACGAGTCGCCGTAGCTAGAAGTACCCTGCGAGGGCACGAAGTACACCGATTGTTTGGAATGGCGGATCGAACGGGCACGCACGGTTGCCGCATCGTGTGGTAAAAATGGCCGCGACCTGCCCACACCGTGCTCTACGGTCTCGCAACTCTTTAACGTCGCCGTCACGGGACGATGACGCGTATCCCGCACTGCCACGGTAGATACATCTTCGATACGCAACCACGGACACGAGCTAGGGAAAACGACCAACCTAGCACACGCCCCGAATTACGCGTGGACGATGCGATCTATCCTCTGTGCGCTGCTGCTGCCTGTTCTTGCTGCTGCTACCCACCACGACTATGCATTTCTGTCATTCGTCTATCTGTTTCTTTCCCACTCTTCCCCCTTTCCTTCTTTCACCCTTCCACCTCTACCACCTTTTGCTCCCTCTATCTTCTTCCTGCTTTAACTACTATTTCTCTCTGAATACAACGACCGAGAACATGGCGTACCTATGCTTCCAAGACGAACATATGAACAGAAATACGCTCGATGTGTTCTGTTGCCTGGGGTCGTGCCTCTTACACCATTATATTCCCCCCTCTTTGGCTTCTTTGTTTCTAGATACTTTTGGTTTGTCACTAGAACACAACAAGTAGCGCCGTCTATACGGATTGAAGATGATCCTTTATTTGATAGTTCATCTATGTGTCGTTCGTTGGCGCCACATGCTGCACACTATCTTCGTTGGCGGGTAAAAGAATCGATTCCGAAGTTTTTATATCGAACATGGCAATTTACATGTTGTTTGTAAATGTATCGTATATTCGAGAAAGCAGAGAATAAATTAACAAATACGAGGTAATAAAAATAATGATCAGTAGTCCATCTTTGTTTTCTTTCGGTGTCAAGATGTTGACGACGATGTCATTTCAGAATGTTTTTAACAACGAAGGAACAGCTATTACTGATTTTGGAGCATTCGATACTCGCTTTCGTGCGATTTCTTTAGAAGGACAATTACCATCGATGGACAATTAACACCTTACCAAGAAAAGCTAGTTTGCTCATATCCTTTCATTGACTTTCACTATCTCACTGTGATATATTTGAAATCAATAAACCATTTTATCTCTAATTTAATCAATAATTTCTTGTATCATCTTCATACTCGTACAAGCTTTATCGAATGAAAATTTTTATTCTGTAGTAATATCACAATTATATCCAACGAAGGAAACGGTAGAAATTGCCGTTCGTGGAAAAAGTCACCGCTGGATCAACGCATTAGGCCGCACCTGCAAAGGCGCGCCTCTTTTGAACCAGTTCACGGGACCAATTACGCCCGCTTCGCAAACATGTCCTGTTGATTTTGTTGGGCCGCTTTTGGCGATGGCCACGTTTCCAAATCCATATAGGTAAGCTTGTCCCGACTCGCAACTGACGTGGGCCGCCTTCTTGCTTACCTACATACATGAAACATACATACGTCGTGTTGCGTACGGCTCGTCCTCCCGGAAGAATAATTCGAGGTCGATCAGGTGGATTTCCATACTATCATGGTTCTGTTTCAGACTTTCAGTCCACGATTTATGTACTTAGCGTGTCGTGCGAAGTTACAATGTATCATCTTGTTTATATGTTCGGCATCTGGCTAACTGCTTATACCATTTGACACGCTAGTGTTCCACTATCATTCTCGCAATTTCTGTTATTGACATTGGCATGATCACTCGATACGATTGTAATACCGGAGACCAGTGACGCGTACCTACTTCTGTCCAAGGATACTACGATTGCGAGCTGTATATAGAGAATAAGATTAGCGCCAAGGAAAACCAGAATAATGAAATTACGCGTGGGGAGCTTTAGTACAAGATCATTCATTGCTTCTAAGGTTTCCTTCAAAGCGATTGATAGCTCAAATCCTACGGTAAAATTTTAATAGATTTTTGTTTGCCTTTTTAATTGCTAAATACAAATGAAATACTTTATCCTCGAAGGAATTAACTTTTATGAATTAGCCTCATTGTTGTAGTCGCTAAATTTGCAACTATTTAAAACCACGTTAATGATTTTATACATTGCTCCATGACTAAATGATAAAAATGAATATACCTAGTATTTCTAAGTGTGTATACATTTCTTTAAACTGTTCTTTCTTTTTCAGTTCGTTACATTTTACGTAAATGAAATGCAAAATTCTCTGAACGCCAGTAGTTTTGAGCTATGCAGTCGTGCCAGTAGTACCTATTACGGTTTCACTGTTGAGTGTAAACAGAGCGCATCAATGCAGTATTGAGTCATGGTATAACGATCGACGGCAACGTTAAGGATAATTATAATAGCGACACTGTCGCAACTGCTCTGCGACGATGAAAGTGTTACTTAAGTACATCGAGGAAGAATCGATCAACACTTTCACATTCATAGAACATGTAAATATTATTCTCTTCCCTTTTCATTATTTCGTTAAGCAACCATTTTTGGTGCCGGACGAAGTAGGCGCGAATACAGATATTAAGATACAATATTTTGATTATGTTCACGGATGAATCACTTCACACGCACGCAATATAAGGTATTCACTTGGAACGTTGCATTTGCATATTAACCCCCAGTGCTAAGAATAGGCTTCTGAAAATGTATTTGGCGTTTCTGTTCAGATATATTTTTCGATAACCCGTGTAGGATGAATGTTAAATTTTCCTTTCAATTTGTTCAGCTTAATCGACGTTAAATTTTAAATGTCACGCAGACATGATTCTCAGATACATATTCATAGATTAAAAAAGATTGTTTAATAAAGAATTTCATATTTAAATCAGTAGTTTGTTTGTAATTAAAATCTCATAACATTCTGTTGATCGTTGAAAGCTAATGTTACATATTAATGTTGTACATGCTAATTATTCCATTAATATTTATTATTGATCAGAGATTGAACTCGAAGTTGAACTTTGTTCAAATCTTAAAGAAATACAGTCATTGGGATTATTTATATATTATTTCGTTATATAATATTGCTCTTAGATAGTTACTAAATAGAATACATTTATGATACTATGATAGATTTCTTATAGTCAGTTTTACAGACTTCATGAAGAATTATCTGTGACCCGCTGACCGATTTTGTCGAAACGCGGATGTCCTTGTCTCTCGCCACAATATCCCTTACAGGTATTGTCCCTGATTCGATCTTTGTCCTTGCTCTGACAAAGGGATCCTTTAGCCATATACAGTCAAGGTATCTCGTTCCTGTTCCATTCAGAATTTACTTTTAACATGTTTCGCGACGATTAGTTTCGTTACAGGAATAGTTCATTACTACGGTAAAAAAATTAGAAATATAAATACTTACCTATAATTTTTAAAATACACACCTACAAAAATATATCGATTAACAGATTCGTTACAGTTCATTAGTAAATTAAAAAAGGAGATTTCATATATTTCAATTTGACATTTCCGAATATCTCATCATACTTTATACCTTTTCTCATTTCTTTAAAAAAAACTTGGTAATGGTATATCAATTCGGACAATCGATTTGCCTATGGAACAGGCTACTGGCCCCAGATTGGATTCAACTCGATCTCATCGGTACCAATAGTTCGGGTGTGCTTCGTGCTGCTCCGGCGATCTTCGTCTCCCACTGGGAGCACTCCAGCGGCTGGGAGATCCGTCAGAAAGTGCTCCACGGACGAACAGTATCGTGAGCGCTGGCCACGGCAGCATGCGCGGGAATTTGGTTTGCCGTTCGTTTTTCGATTATCCACGCTGTGGCATTTTACTCGTCACTTGACGACTTGTTCAACGACGATTTAAACGACTTCTCTTCTTCTTGTCACGTGTGCACTCGTACTTGTAATCGAAAGAACAAGATATCGAAGAATTGTTACACTTGATTCATCTATCTACGGTTTTGAAAGCAGCGGTCATTGGAGTATCGATAAGAATCAGGTGAATGTAAACACCGATCTTTTTTCCTTTTTCACCCGCTGACTCTTGCTCTTCGCTAAATTCAAATACATCTTATTCTACGTTATTCTCTTTCGTTGCTTACCGCAATTCTGAAACGCGTGTACTTTCCTAGAGAAGGCTGGCCGCTCCATCGAACCGCTTTTTGCTCGAGGATGTTACGAGACTAGCATTGTCAGCTTCTTACGTAATTTGCCGTGCACGAGTACCGATGGGAATCTTCCCAGTGCATCGGCTGTAAAGACACGTTTCTAGTCTATGCCTCTTTTTTCCTCTCATTACGTGTTCTCCATACCAGATCGATGTTATTTGATTTTGTTTACACTTGCATGTTAATTCGCAATTAGATTACCGATGTTTAGAACCGACAGTTTTACATGATTTTTAGATCGAATTAATTTCATAACGAGACTTGGTCAATGATTAGTTGCCATGGTTTGAGTACAGTTAACACGAAAGCAGAAATGCGATTTATTTTTTTTTAACTTCACGGAGAGCGGTCAGATATTTTCTTCCTTGAAATTCTAAATGCATCAAGTTATTTAATTCTCTACTCCACCGTTTCTTCGTTTGGATTAAAGTTATTTACAGTTAAATGAATTCGAACAGTATATTTTGTTTTAAGCAATACATTTATTTTTCTTTTATAACTTTTACAAAATGTGTAATAAAAGTGATACTTTTTCTTTTTTTTTTAGAAGAAAATTGGATGATTGAGAGATATGAGAGATGTCACGTATAAACTTGCCGCGCTTATTTTTCCTCAAAATGGCGACGTCCTTGTCGAGGTCACGTGTTCATCGCATTACAGGCATACCACCCACGAGTGTCCACCTGTTCTCCGATCGCTCTATTTATCTGTCGCTTTTCGTTCTTCAGCCATGCATTTAAATCACCGACGACATGTCGAACGGTGATTTAAACGCAATCACCGAACAATCGCGTTCGCTGTTCGATTTACGATCCACGTAATTTAAGACTCACAGTCTTCTACCACTTGTATTGTCTGCCGTTGTGCTTTCGACTCTCATCGTGACATCTCCGATTTTTCACTTAAAAATTTAGTAAAACAGATAGAGAAAGATCCTCGATAAAAACTATCATCTCAGAAGATTCGTGGTTCACGTAGTTCGTAGTTCTCCCACTTAAAAGGATGTGAAAGAGAAACGATATTAGAATAATATTTAAAAAATATTACTAACTAGTATCCTCTTCCATGATGGAAGTCGAGAAACTTCGTTCCGTTCGCTGTGACAATAGAGCAGAAAAACGTCCTCCGCCTTGGACAGTTTTCACTTGTTCAGCCGCACACCAGTGTGACACATGCCTGACGTCACGTGCATATCCAATGAGAAAAGACCGACACGGTCGTATATAGAATCGTCGTTGGTGCGTGATGTCAATACGAATCGCTCCTGCTTTTTAACTTAGTCTCGATCGACGTCGTCTCTTCATTTACGAGATCTCTTTTCGTTCTCTCTCCCTCTCTCTCTTTCTCACTACTTTGTAAAGTACGTTAATTATCGCTGACCGGAACGTCAATGCGTGCCGGTTTGAAGTGGCCGACGATTATTTTCTCTGGTAGCCGTCATTTGCTTTAAGACGGCACATTATAAGCCTAGATTCTAGGGGAAAAAATCGTGATACTTACGTACCTGTTCCAGCCAGGACAGGGAGAGCTCGTGCGTAATTCCAACCGCAAGGACGCAAGTGTTCAATGGCGTAGGTCGATGCTTTCGTTCAATCTTCCTTCATTAATTATAATTTATTAATATAATGAATAGTTTCGGTATTCATCGCCGATAATATTATATTGATCGTATTTTAGATAGTTATACAAAGAATTGCACGAGTTAGAATTCAGCGTCTGAATCACAATTCATCATCTGTCTTTATTTTTTAAACCATCTGCAACTTAACAAAACAAATTTCACAAGTATTTTTTCAATATATTTTGAATAATTTACGAAATTTCTCTGAAAATTCTAATTTTGTAATAGGCATATATTTACCTATCTCTTCATTAGTATATTCTTGGGCCAAAGGGTTAAACGATATAAGAAATACGCCACTGTCGTCGGAAACTGGTCGTACGTGGCACACGCGTGTCTTTTAACCATCTCGATATCGTATCGCAGCCCATATCGAGGTGGCCGCGACCACAGACCCGCGCGCCACAGCGGCCTTCGACTTCCATGCAGAAAGAGCGTCCTGATGAATTATTATGCCCCGCCTATACACATACACACGATTACTAGACATACGTGGTCACGATTACGCTAGAAGCGTTAAATAGGCTGCATCTTCGATGACTTCCATCGGATCGAGATGACCCTGTTGTTTCTTACATCCTGATTACCCCAATGATTCCCGGGACTGGCAAGTTGCGGCTCGTTTCAACTGCTTCGTTATTCTATTCTATTTTTGAATAAATATATGTACCTTTTGTACGAGAAGTTGAGAGGAAAAGTGAATTGAAGGGAAAATTATGAGGGAACATTAATAGAGGAATCGACACGCTACTAAATATTAAACAAATTATTATACATATTCATAAAGGTTCAAGAATCCATAAGAAAATATTATACATAATATAGAGATCAGGATCATAGCGATTTTTATTTATTATATAGGTTTATTTATTTATTGTGATTGAAACGGAAAACTATAACTATTTAATTAGAACTTAATGTAGTAATGTGATGTAGCTAAAGACAACTAAATTGGTAGTTTACAACTCAACTTACAACTTACAACTCACAATTCATGAGTAACGATTAACTTGCAATTATTCGCAGCTTCCTCGCAGCTATTAACTATTTACTATTTACTATCTACTATTTACTATTTACTATTTAATATTTATTATTTACTACCTACTATTTACTATCTACTATTTGCTATTTACTACTTACTGTTGAATATCGACTACTCGAATATTGACCACTCTCTTCACCAAGACATTCTTTTGATACCAGAGTTTTCAGTACTATTACGACGTACACGAGTTTTACAGCTGCTGACCCAAAATGGTCAAACGCACCTTTTCTAATTACACAATGTCCTAAAGGACCACGAACATCTGGCCCATAAGGATTTCCCATCATTCTCTGCCTGTCAGCACTGTTCATACTTTCTACCTATAGTTCACCGGGTTTTCCCCAACGGTCTTTCCTCCATACTACAATAATTTCTCTTGACACCTAATTGTCGCCTTGTCGTCTTCTGCATAAATTCATATAATTTATGATCTCTGGAAGAAAGATATGCATATTGTTATATTGAATTATTCCAGAAAAGTCAGGTAATCGGATAAGAAGGCAGACTTTTGTTGGAGGAATTCGTGAATCAATAATTCCACTTCCTGTCACGACAGCCTCTAACAGCACTAGGATTCACCAGCAGGCATGATCGAATGATGGAGGTGATTTCAACACGGCGATACGAGGCTCGTCCACCGTCAGCGAGCGTTCCACCGATTCTCGTGAGTAGATCTTCTCGTCTTTGTACCTACCTTATAAAGGTATAAATCATTTATTCCTGTGCTCACAGTCAGACGGACAGATATTGCTACAACCCTTTACATATACAGTCAGAGAAACGAGTTTAACCATGCGACTACTTTTTTTACTTTTCAGATCGACCCTGAGAATTCCGTGGCTTTGGTCAAAGAAGGTAATTCCTCGAACGTGATTGTCATGCATTGTTTGTTCGTGATGCGGACGTTCGAGTCGTGATTCAAATAACTAGATACAAGATAAGAAGGAAGGCGTGTCGCGCGCGAACCGAGGTCTGGCAAACATTTACCGTGAAGCGTATTAACATCAGCGAAGTTCCTCTTATTCTTGTTCGACGTCGCGAAACGGATCACTGCAATCATCGACGTCTACTCGCACCATTTCGCCCCTCTCCTTCTCAGCTCTTCTTCGTCTTTTTTCTTTTTTTACCTCTCTTTCTCTCTCTCTCTCTTTCTCTCTCTCTGCCTCCCATTCTTATTCGTTCAGTTAGAAAGATTGGTTTTTCGCAATAACGTCGGCATTGTATAGTCCAAGTGGAAAGAGTACTCGCTTCCGCTTTCAGAGGAATGGGAGACTCGAAAGAAAAAAGAAATAACGACCACCAGGCAGATCGAGACGAGAGTGAAGCGACAGGTTGTACTCGAGGATGGCGAGGTCGTGGTCGATTCAGGGCCTCTGGTTACCACGAATACTACCGAAGACGTCGAGCAACAGGAGCATACCACGCAAGAAGTAAGGCTATTTCGAATAACTAAAATATAATAATAAAATCTTCGTATTACTGCCATTTTACCGATCTTTCGTTTCAGAGACGAACAACCGGTGATCAACCACAAGAAGTTGAATGGCCAACAGGTGGAAGAAACTCTGCCGATGCCGGTAGCATTGTCCAGAAGGAATTAAACGAGACGGTAGTGAGGAGTCGCGAGGAAATCGAGGAGAGGCTGGAGACAGAAGATCGTCAACAATTGGGAGATATCTCGGACGAGGTACATATATCGACGCGACACACCCACATCTAAATTCCACCTGCGCGTGCCGCGATACGCTGGTGTAGTACACGTTCTTTCTCTTTCTTGCCGCGTAAAGGTCAGCTCGCCTCTCGCCAAGGCTCATCCCACATGTATTCACTACGGTAGGTACCCGTGGATCACAAATACGGTGCCCTCTTTTCACCAACTTCCTTTCCCGGTCTGGAAAAATTTCGAGTTCCGGATTTATCCAGTACACCGATTTCTGACTCGCCCAAGGCCAACGTGGACAAAACGGTACATTATGGAACTCGGGGGACGTGTTCGTTTCTATTTGGTCTACTAAATTTGCGAATGACGATTTCTTTAAAGTGTGCCGTACAAGCTTTCTCCTGGAGAGGAGAAATGTATTTGAAGTGCTGCTTAACATCATAATTGAGAAATTTTACGGGTGACGAACAAAACAAACAGAGATGTGAAGAAAGTATGCAGTACGACTAGATTAGGCGTGTACATGCAGACACTTTTCAAATGAAATGTACAGAAAGATCATGTAAGTCTGAAGTTTCTCATAGCTTGTTGAATTTGACAATGCTGACTCTTTATCTTAAAGTATACGCATACACTTAGACTAGTTGTATCCTCTTTTTCTCTTCGCACGTTCGTTTATATACCGTGCAAAAGCTCTATAAGCATCGATTCTAATTTCTTTGTATATTTTCATTTCACACCTTTGTTAAACTTCGTCTCACACTTACGTATGATTATTCGCAACAATGTCCGCGGTACTCTTCGCTCAAGAGCGAATTCCTCTAGCGATCGACAAAGTCAGAAATTTGTAATTTCTCTGACGGTCTGTCAAACATCGTCAAAAGGCATCTGTGAACGCTTGTCGGCGGATGATTAATGGAGCCTGAGCGGAAAGAGACGAACACGGAAGGCAGCGACTGTGCATCAAGAGGAGGCGAGCAACAGGTGTATCGTGTAGCCAATCGTATTTGTCACGTTGCTTATCGTAAATCTATGTGGTAACAAATCGAGTAGATCGGAGAATCTTTACCTCGTGGAATATCCTCGCGAAATACCAACGAACGTGCAAATAATCACACGAATCGATAATAGGTAAAGCATACTGTTTTTCTGCGGAGATTACACTGACGCTTAAAAATGAAAAACTGGAAACATCGTTAAAAGACCGAGCTCGAAAGAACAGCATGAGGAGAAGATGGAAGCTAGTTGGATTAGACTTTAGGACGAAAGTGTGAGATCGTCTCTAGAGTCGATCGAGCGTGCAACGAGGCTTACCGGTTACTAGCGGTTACGATAGAAGAGGAAATATCTCTCGTTGGAGGGGACTGACTTCTGCATTGCAAAAGCCAGGCAACAGGTATTCGCGTTCGCGCATGAACGATTCAGAAACGAAGAGGTCGAATTGTTCTGGATGAAGAAGAACGAAAGGAAAGAGAGGCTGATCGGCTGTATCGGCTGATACGCGAAGTAGGGATACCTACGGAGAAGAAGCAGAGAGGAAGAGAAAGGAGATCTAAGGAAGGAGAAGTCACGGGAGAAAGAGCGACAAAGAGGCACGACTCATCGAGAAGTGGAAGTCGATGATCTCTCGACTTTGCTCTCCCTTCACCGAATGGCGACGAACGAGCTGAGATGCCACGATCGCAGTCATAGCAGCTGTTCCGTGCTCGACTATCTTCGACGTTCCTATCTGGTCGCGACCGACATACGTTTCACAGATTACTTTCCTTGTTCTGATCCGTTTACCGGCGATTACAGGATATTACGTGATTCTACACGGTGATAACGTTCATTCTCGCCCCCCTATCTTCTTCTTTGACAGAGCGCCGATACGACGACCAACACCTGAGATCAGATATGATTCCTCGTGGATCTTTCGCTGGTATTTTGTAAAACTGTTAAATGTTTGGTGTCGTTTGGGTGTTACAGTGGTACAAACGGTAATTCGTGTCTATAAAATGGATCATATAGGAAACTGATCGTATTTCAAGGGACTACACCCACAGGTTATTTTTTTCTCACTTATTTCTAATTATTTGTAACATAGAAAGATATCTGATGAAGTTTCAAGCGTTTCAATAAAAATGTAAAACGAGGATAACTTTCTTATGATAAATACTTATTTTTATAAGCGTGTGGAACGTGCGAAGGTCATTTTAGCCTTTCTTTTTTTTTCTTCTTCTTCTTAATTTGGATATGAATGATAAAGGACATCCTTATGAGTCGTCAGGTGATCTGCGTGTAAACTGAATTCGTGTAATTCCTGTCAAAAAATAAACTCGACAATCTACGTTAATCACTTACATTTAATTTCAATTCGAGCTTTTCAAGTGATCAATGTCGATTAAGTGTCGAGCTTAAAAACAACCTATTCCATATGTAAAACATTAATTACTTAGATGACCTTTAATGACCTCGACCAATGCAGGCCATTCTGTTCGCTTTGCTTAAATTGATGGCAACCTTCAAACGTTGCGAATATCTTCACCTACAAGCGAGTTTCTCTCGTTGCGTAATATCTATATTTAAAATATTTTCTTTCTTATTTTAATATCATCTTTTAATATAATTCTCTATATCAGAACTTTATATTTAGTCATTCAGGTCATATGGAAGTACTGGGACATTTGATGATATTTGGTACAAATTGAACACTTTTCACTGCTTTTACTTTTTAACTATTTTATTATAAAATAAAGTGAAATTTGTTACAGTTTCTCAAAAAATATAACGAGTAGGTGTACTGATATCTATGGCCAATATCGAACCTAATAGCGATTAAATTTTACGTCGATATATATTTCTTTTCGACTTGATCCAAGATTGTAGCTTTACATTTATTGTCGCGTATGTCGAGTGTTGTGACCTTCGCTGTTAGAAACACCTTTCTTTCCACTTGTTCGCGAAGGGTCCGCGTGCGAGAGCCGGACGATCCGGTTTATCGCGGACGAGATTTCGGAACGCGAGGTGATTTCCAGCGGATAATAACTGGCCGGACCTAACTGGCTAAACGGTGACTCGTCTGGTTTCAGGCGTACCAGAAGGCTGTAAGAAGTAACCGGGGCGATCTGAGAGTGGCCCTTGCTGAATCTTCCAAGCAGTTGGCGTCTCAAACGGGTCCCAGGGTCGTCCAGCACACGACCAAGTCGAACAAGGTGATCGACACTGAGAAAACCTTGGAAAAGAAGGAGCTTAAGGCCGATGGATTGATCGTTACTGAGAGGAAACGAACGGTTGAGCATGAGGAGGTTTGTTTCTTCAAATATTCTCTTGTTCCTAGCTATCGTGTCTTTTTCTGTGATCTTCGACGGTTTTATAATTGAAGAGTACGATGGAAGAGCACCGGTCCCTCGAGTTACATTATTCATTTCTTACAGGAGTTTTAAAATTCAGTGCATTATCAATCAATTCGATATTACTAACATTTTCCTGTTGTTATTTGGTTTTTTACTAAACTTTGTCAAACACGAGTTACGATAATTGAATTATATAATTATATAATAATTATAATTGATATTGATGTTAATTGTAGATTAAAGACCACGAGGTTCCCGATGAAGGAAGCGACATAAATGGTGACGACGCGTCGGAGAAAAAAAAGGAAAGCTCGCATAGGTTCGTTAAAAAGAGGGACGAGGACGTGGTCGACTATATCTCAGGTGGCGAGAGGGTCGCCCGTGAAATGCGCTACGTCGCAGAGACCACCGAGGGAGAACGAATCGGAGATTGGACATCATCGCCTACAGCCATGCGAACTACTCGTTTCCATAAACATTCTGGTACTTCTTTTCTTTTTTAATTTTATATAAATTTACATCAAGTTCCAAAAACGCCCTTTAGGAAATTTTCTGCTATTTAACCATCGTTAAAGTGCGTTAATATGCCGTGAGAATCGGCCCATTAATCTTTTCGAGATGGACTTTTCTTTTAAAGATAAACTTTCTAATAAACGATAGAAATGCAACGATTATTATTACAGGCTTCCCCGGAGAGAGCTTCCCAACACGGAAGGATGTTTTAACAAAAAAGCCATTGGATTTTGAGGAGGAAGATGAAGCGAGAAAGTTTGAAACGTCTAAATGGTTGGAGAGCCATTTTGGTAGCGAGTCGCGTTCTTCTCATGGATCCATCGATGCTGACGACTCTCCTCTTCCAACTAACGCGAATACCAGCTACATTAATATTACTATGAAGTCTTGTGCCCCTAAGGAACGGGATTATCAGAATGTGAACTCTAATCGACATCAACGACGCAGTACTGGTCGTAATTCAGCGTCACCTTCGGGATATTTTCACGGCATAAGCGAGTGGTCTGAGAGATACCAAGGGAAAGGTATTGCAGGATTAAAATATACCTCGCCGGGGTATCATTTATAACTTTGTGATATTTTATATAATTTATAACGTAATTTTTGGTATTATTAAACATTTACGTATATTATCTAGAGAGACAAAGTCAAGCAAGAACAAGTTCTCCGCAATACGTCGAGGCAGCTCATACAAACGGATATGCTCAGGATCACTCAAGGAACCAAGGTGAATCGACGTACTCAAAAACTTATGAATCGGTTCTTCGTCGCGAACACCAAGAATCGTTTGATCGACCACGTACTCCACCATCTCCACCTGTTCGACGAAGGTCGAAAGAACAGGTATGTATCTTTCATATCTTTTATGTTTGTGCATCGATTATACTCTGTTGCAATATATTATATCAGAGCTTTATATTTAGTCATTCAGGTCATATGGAAGTACTGGGACATTTGATGATATTTGATACAAATTGAACACTTTTCACTACTTTTACTTTTTAACTATTTTATCATAAAATGAAGTGAAATTTGTTACAGTTTTTCAAAAAATATAACGAGTAGGTGTACTGATATCTATGGCCAATAGCGAACCTAATAGCGATTAAATTTTACGTTGATATATATTTCTTTTCGACTTGATCCAAGATTGTAGCTTTACATTTATTGTCGCGGATATCGAGTGTTGCAATATATTGTAAGGATATTGTTCATTTTAGTGGATAACGAGGTCCGAAGAAAAGACCAGTTTAAACGACTCGATACCAGGTCGTACTACCAGCCCAGTTCACGTCGTACAAAGAACTTGGGAAAGTCGCAATCGAAATGTCCAAGAGCAGGCAGTGGAGCGAGACAACTGGAAGAAATCAACGTCGAGATCTCGATCAACGTCACCCATGCCAGAATTGAATTCACGCGACAGTAAAAAATCAACTGAATTTTCGACTTCGACTCCTGCTCGTCCCGCAAAAAGTAAGTATTAAAGGCATTTGAAATGGATGTTCTTTCTTAAGAAGATGATATTTATATATATTTTAAATGTTCAAGGTTCGGGACATTCGAAATATAAGATCGGCGAGTCTTTCAGGAAACTAGTAGGGAAATTGCGCTCTGCTAGCAGCGAAAGGAAGAATAAACGGTCCAATAGCAGCTCTATTTCTCAATTGACTCAGACTGACGACAGTGGGCCGACCTACATGCAGTACAATGTGATCGACAAAAACATTCCTCTGATAAACGAAAGGGATACCGAGGAAAAGCCTCCTGAAAGACCACCTAGGAACCATGCTACCGTGAACAATAATTCGAATAAGATCTCGAAAACAGCGAAAACTAGCGCCCAAGTGGTACAAGAACAATGGCAACGCAGCGAATCAACGCCACCATTGCACAGGTATTACCTCGGAGAGGATCCCTTCGGAGGAAGCATCTACGGCCGCGAAAAAGGATACCGAGATGCGAGAAGATCTGGGAAACCACGTGGTAGAGCTACCGCTGAAACCGAGTACAGGTAACTAAACTAAGTTATAAGAAAGAAAGAATATTAAATGGCTAATCGTTGCATATATGGGTTAGCTATGTCTGCAAGTTAATCGTTAAAAATAAGAGCAGCGGTATCGTATTGCCTGGCTGCGAAAGAAAGGCGTAATCGTATGAGCGTCGAAAGACATTTCAGTAAGCTGATACAGATTTACGTAATCGAATCCGTAGAACGGTGTGCTTCATTGCTTGTTCAATTACGTATGTATGTAGAATAGATGTACAAGTAAGACATTTCGCGACGAAACGTCGGTCGCTTCGGATGCTGGGTGAAGGCTGCATGAAAGGGAGCATGTCTCTATGCCGCTATGTAGTTTCGTATGGGCTCGTCAGCCATCTCGGAGAACGATTGCTCCACAGTCAATTGTCGAATCGACGCGTTTCAGCGTCGCATCCAGTTCACTTGGCAGGTTTAGCAAGTCAACCAGTCGGCTAGTCAACGATCACGAGCGAGAGGAACATTTTAGGAGTACTCAAACCTTGCCGAGGAACCTGCATGCCGGAGGACAATACGTACGGTCGCAGACTCTAGCAAGACGCCAGCAACCGGTTTCTAATGCAATCAAATTGGGAACGTCACACGTCATCGTTCCGTCATCGGGGAACCAGTCGCGTCAGTACGGAAGCATGATCAATATCTCCATCAAGAACACGGTTACGTCGCCAAAGGTGGCGGTACCGACCAACGTCCAACCGCCGGCCAAGCCGGAACGAAGCTACAGATCGTCGTTGTTACGTAGCAAGAGCTTTAACGTCGAAGCTGACAGAAACGGCACTGACACGGCACCCCCCAAAATACCGTACACATCTAACTTGCAATTAAATAGATTGGACGAGACACCTCCGTTGAAGAGTCCCGGCATTTTGGCCAGTATCAGTCGTAGTAACAGGGATTTGTTGAAAAGCAGCAGACACGAGTATTGAATAATTTTCATTAAGTCGATTTAAGTTGTTCAGTTGGAGACTTTTTAATAATTTTATAATGAACTGCTTTCTTCGATATAATTGAAGTGGAATCTATTATGCGATTATTAATTATCATATATGATTGTTTAAGATTTTTTGTTTGTATAGTGTAAAGTGTAGTATAGTGATATTAATATTGTCCATGTATATCGTGAGAGATAGACACGTTTTGTATGAATCAACGAGAGCGTGTTTTGTTCTAATATTTTCAGACAGGTTCTTATTACAGCACAGTTCATGCGAGATTTATTTAATTGTTTTCACTTACGTATTCAATTACAATCCAAGATTACATATCAGGTTGGTAGAGGAGGAGAATGAGATAGCGATAGCGATTCATGTTTAAGAATATGTGATTGAATGTAACGTTAAATTTCGGGATATTTTATTACTATGTTATATTAATACAAGGTGAAATTACAATTGTCCAGATTTGTTGCATTTATAGCGTTTATTCCGTAATCATCAAATGAAATGTATTAAATAGTACATACAGATTCCTTCGATGCAATGTGAAAAGTTTTTAATAAATCACAGGATATAGACGTTAAGTAAACAATATATATGTATTAATATCATGATTAATCCATTTTTAACGACTTTGCAACAAAATTCGGAAGATTTTAGTAAAATTAGATTTTTAAAGATTCATATTTATTTCGATCTTTTCTTCTTATTTGTGCCATTATTTTGAGGTAGTTTTCGCTGCTTTTTAAGAGCAAGCGTTAAAAGAGTAGCATTTACGATATACAGACTAACACAAACTACACAAATATTGCTTAATTTGTACAAAATGTAAGCCAGATAAAGCGTACCAAGGTTCGCACAGATTTCTAATGTTACGACAAGGGCTGATGTAACATGCTCATTTGATATACCTAAAAAATTTATTAAAATGTTGTTAGAAAACGAAAAATTATATTTTTTCTGCCCAGGGTTATGACATTATTACAATGGATGAAAATTTATTGAATCACAAATACGATACGTACTTAGTATTGCGACCAAAAGATAAAATATTAATCCATATATAGAATTTGGCGCGTAAAAAAAAGATGTTTCTGGAATTATTCCAAAACCTTTCCCATATCTGTAATAAAGTCAATTAGTTATTAGCTATATACAGCTCTTTAAAAATGAATGATAATTCACCAAGTATTTTTAAGTTGAAAAATATAGACAAAAAAGTATTAATGTTTCTTACAAAATTATCTTCATTGAGTATCATAAGAGAGTTAATTCAAAATTCGATATGAACGCATGCGCAAGAATGAAGAAGGCTGATTTCTATGTAGAACACTGTACGATAAATAAACATACAAAAACAATGTACAGTGCGTGCATTTACAGTTATAAAAATATATCAATCTACGAAGTACCAAAAATTTGAAGTTAAATAAATTCGTATATTTATAATCTTAAAAAATAGTTGCATCAATTAGAACACGAATTACGTTGTGGACGAGTTTTCTAGATTTTCTTCGTGCACAAAATAGTACGAGTTTTATATCAACAAAATTGTATAATACATGTTTTAAAACTAAACCTATACTTACTTGGAAGAAAATGCTTTGGTGCAACTAACATGTTCGTTAATATCGCACACTGCTTCGTACGAATCATCCTCTTCCTTTGCTAATTCCACGTAATATGCATAGTAAGAAAGAACAAAACCTACGATACATGTTGTGACAATTTTAGCGTTTAATTTTCCTATAGATTTCTTGATTGTAGCCATGATTCAATTATATGAATAACGAGTAAATTTGAATTAAATTTGAATACACTATTTTGAAAGAAAATTGACTGATCGAGTTATTTATTCACACTTGATAATTTTTTAAGCACTATGAATAGAAATCAATGTTCTTCGTGGAAGGAAGTAATACAAATACGACGATCGATAATCATACTGTGAAACGAAATGTAACATGGAACGTTGATTGGCGACGACCCTCTTCAGTATACTGAATGTCGAATGAGATTAATTTCCTTCCCACCACAAAATTATCCTTGTATAAAAGCAACAATCTGATCGGGGTCAAGTCATCCAAACATCGAATTATCATATTTACATACAACTGAATATGTAATTATATTGGATTTTTTGATAAGTTAAGGTTACTTTTGGTTAAAAATAAAATTTGAATCAATTGGAATACTTTATTTCTTAAGATTTGTACAATCCTTACAAGACTTTAAATTCATTTTTTTTAAGTGATACTGACAGCTTATAACTTGCAGAATGAACGAATATTTCTGATTTGTGTCGCGTTTGTTTTATTCCTTTACATGATGTACCTCATACAAAGTTTTTAGACTTATGAATATTCATTAATTCTTATGAATTAAATTTTTTACTTAAAAAAAATGCTTCTTTCATTCAGATTTTATAAATAAGTGGTAACAAAAAATTTAGCATGACAATATGTAAAATCCTTCCTGTAGTACGATAGTATCTTATTTGTCTATGTCTTAATTAGTACTGTCTATAGAGCACATAAGAACATATAGGAATTTTGTCACAAGAAAAAATGCAGATAATTGTAAATTAACTACATCATACGCTAGTGTTACTTATAAAAAAGATAAGAAATGTAGATTATTAGAATATGTTATAGATATATGATAACCTCTTTATGTAGTTGGAATATTTGAATTTAATGAGACTTAATATAGTGTTTTATTCCTGTGGAGCCATTGCTCTCGCTTGAGCTCTTACACGTTTTTCATACTCCAAGCGATTTTGACTGTAATAAAAAATTCACATTTCCCATAATAATTTCATATACACACAAGTTTTACATCATATAAAATAAATATAATACCAATATATTGTATATGCTTCTGCTTGAGCTGGATCTTTGACATTTGGTTCATTTAATAAATCTTGTATACCAAGGAGAATTTGTTTAATTGTAATGGCAGGCCTCCAATCCTTTTCTTCGTCCAAGAGAGACAAACATACTGTTCCTGAAGGGTAGACATTTGGGTGAAATAAAGGAGGTTCAAATTTACATTTTGGTGGACTAGAAGGATAGTCATCCTTGAAGATCATGCGTAATTTGTACAATCCACCCTCCCATGGTGTCTGCGAAATTGAATGTTCAAATAATATCGTGAAAATGAATGTTAACGCTAATACTATGTGTTATAACTCACAGATTTTTTCCCTGGTATTGCACATTCCCAATTCATCAAGTTAAGTGTCCCATCTTGATTTTTAACAGGTCGTGCTACAAATCCCTTTACAAAAGTTAAATTATGTCTCAATACACATTACATGCAAAAAGATTGACGTTTATCCAAAACACATATACATGTATACTATATACGTCCAGAATAACGCACGCGTTTCTGTATGTAAGGTTAGGATTTTTAACTGTTGAACTATTTTATCGAAAACGATTTTCTACCTCGATAACAAACAGTTGTTCATGATCAAATAATATTATAAAGACATGTTTATTTATTAATGCGATTTTGTTTAAACAAATAATTCAATGTTCAGACTGTCCAGAAGGAACATACACATTAATGATTGCAGTTGTAAAAAATAATATATCAAAAGGATAACTTACAAAAGGATGATCTTTCCTCCATGCTTTTCGCTCTTCGGCGAGCCTAGCAATCGCAATGCCTGACATTAATCTGCAACAATTTTACGTTATATTAGCGTAATGTATTTCGGCGCGAAATATAATCGAGACGTGGTGCGCAAACACCAATTGTGACATTACCACTATGCTTATCGATAACAATCCACAACTTTGAATTCTGGGCACTTTCTGCGCCGAAATTTCATCAAATACTTAGTTACACAAGGGTGAAAGCGATTCTATTAGGGTGCGTGTTCAGAAAACCTATGGATTTGTAACCGTCCTCGGTGTTGTTCGGATCTCACTGTGAATTCTTTTTCGCAAACACAGCATCTGTTACACGGGGACCTCTGCTGGTAAAAGAGGACACGTGTCTTGGACAAGTCCTGCAGAGCTAAACCAATCAAAGTACATGTACATTTGTCCAATTCGTTGGTTGGCTGATTAATTTTAATTATATACATGCGTTTTTAGTTATTATTAATAAAAAATTCTCACTAACTCATAAATGTTAAATAATATATTTATTTTTAGAATTAATATATATATCTTTTTTTGCATAATTTCTTAATATTATTAATAGAGAACAATATCTTTAAAATCGAACATTGTGAACATTCAAATTATTTAATCATATCTTTAAGAAAAACAAAAATATTAAAAATAATGAAATTAGATATATACATACTTGCAAGAAAAATGTAAGTCTTTACCATAATATTCAACTGTGTATATATGATTAAAGTAGCGTAATTTATTTTTAAGTCATTTGTTCTTCACTTTATGCTTTTTTATTTTGTTTCATCAAACTTCTTACGTTTCATCTTTTATCTTAATCAGAAAGCATAGCATTACATGCATATACATATACAAATTAAATCAATAAAAAGGCATGAATATCCAGAAAATTATTAGATTGTTATATTATTTTATTGCATATAGCAATTAAATGATAAATGTCGAAAAATATTCTTAGTAATCTTTTTGAATGAAATATCTTCCCAATGTATATTAACGTAATACATCTTGTATTTATACGGATATGAAATAATAATAATATTAATAAAACATACTCTGTTTATCAATCGTATCTCCGTACCAAATAGAATTATTAAATTTCAGTAATTTTGTCGTGTTTATTACTCCGTTTCGTGTCGTCTCTGCTTATACTTATATATACATATATGTTTTCATATCATATATCCGTTCAAAATAAAATAATTACGAAACTCGACTCAAATTCTACTTGTATTACTAGGATCGCATACTGGTATTAGAGGTTATAAGTAAGATACGATTTTATAGTTAAACTGAATTTTCCCTCAAAAGTTACTTCTTATATTGGGATAACATAAGAGGAATGGAGGTCTTTCAACGCTAGGTGGCGCCTCTGTAAGTATGATAAATTGGTTATCAAATTTCGTTCTTTGTATTGGGATAACATAGGTAGAAAAGAGGTTCTGGATTATAAATAGCTCCGGTGAATTTTCTATTAAATTCTATCCTTTATGATAGGATAATATGATCTAAAAACAAGCTGCTTAATATCAAATATTATTCTTACTGCGACGTTAAATTTATGATAGAAAAAAATAAAGAGAATTTTATCCTGAATATCAGAATAATATGACGATGAAAGTATCTCGTCAATTTACCCGCTCATTTCAAACAGGATGTGCTCCGCTGATAAAGCGTTAAAAGGTTTTAAACTAACGAGATAAAGGTGGTTAATTTTTTTCCTTTTACTCAAATCTAGCTTTTTCTAAAGGAAACATGACGAATACAATTTAAATCTTAATGTAAATCGTGAACATGCTATTATACCAAAAAT